CATGGTAACGGAAAGTTGCCCCTTGTTTGGGATGGTGCCGCAGCAATCTGTAAACAGTCTTCATTAGCGGTGGTCGAGCTTTTGGACACAGCGATGACGAAGACGGTCACAACACATATATGGACACAGTCACCTTGAAGGGTGTTGGCCACTGGACTTTGGGGATGAAATTGAAACCATTGCATGGACTGAGACGCTTATGAAAGCGTTGGGGGCTGGACTTCATGATGAAGTTGCCTACGTATCCCAAACATGGGAATCAAGCCTTACGTAGTTCCGGTTAAGGTACACTCGGGTATTTTAACCTTCACTTTGTTTGGCTCTCACTTTTGCCAAGGCGCCCAATGCGGGTTTTCGACCTTGCGAGCTTCTTTCATTTTCTATTTCTTTTCCATTCTTTTTTTCTTTTTCTTTTTTTTCTTTCTTCCTTTTTTTTTTGTTCTTTTCTTTGCATTTTTTTTTCCCTTCTTTTTGTATTTTTCTCTTGCTCTAACTTTTGCCTGGGTCGCGCTTCCGGGTTTTCGGCCCAGCGAGCCTCTTAAAGGGTAAACGTGCAGCAAGTCCATGCCAAATGGTTTTTTGAATTGAAGCCTCTCTGTGTCTAGGAGAACGGCTGTTGCACTGATTTGCGGAGAATTCATCCCGGTTACTCCACAAGCTTCTTCTGGTGAGATCTACTCCTTCTGATTCGGCCTCGGTGCCTCTTACTCGAGGGCTGCTTCGAAACTGGCCATACAGACCTTTCACGGCGTTTGTCCGTTGAACTTTCTGAACGTTCTGAACGGGTTCAAAGTCGGAAAACAAATAGGTTGAATCTTGAGGCTGAGAGCGATCCTAGGCTGCGCAGTCTCAAGAGCGATTCCACACAAGTCTTCACAGGGCCGCGTAAAACATTTGCTTTTTGAAAGTTTTTAAGAAAGTGACGACTCGCTCGGGCCGAAGATAGTGTGGAACCAATCTGGATCAGGCCAGGATCCTTCTCAGTACTCACGCAAGAAAGCGACAAATCGCTCGCGCTGAAGATAGTGTGGAACCAATCTGGATCAGGCCAGGATCCTTCCCAGTACTCACGCCGACAAGCATGATTTCATTCATAAAAAGGCTTAGCACGCCTTTCTTTCTCTCAAAATGATCAAAATTTTGGCAAAACCCGAGGAATTCCTTCCTCTTCGTTTTCATCACCGCAGTGTTCAAAAAGTTTTTTTTTTTGGAAAACTTAGGTTAATGCAATGAGTTTGGCGCGCAGGAGAGTGGGCGAGATATACTGTCAGCCCAATCAAATTCTCTGGCACTTATGCTGAAAGCGAGCATGAAGTTGAGATAGCAACAGCTGTTTCATCCGGATCTGTTGGTGCAACTGGCCCCTTGGCAGAAACAGACTCAAAGCAAAAATAGATAATTTCAAAACAAAACGGTGTTTGGGATAACAACCCCAGAATCACCTAGTATTATATACAACGGGGACTGACTCGATACAACCAGACAGACCCTTAAGCAAAAAAGACTGACTCAAGACAAAGAGACAGACTCAAAACAAAAGACTGACTCGATATCCAAGCCAGGATTTACAAAACTCGGTTTCACCGATGCTCAAAAATGCGTGCCAGACGCTTCATCCAAAATATACCAAATGTAAAAACTAGTCTCCCACCCTCGTGCCTCCTTCCAAACAATGAATACAAGATTTGTACCAAAAAAAAACCAAAACGGAAGCAAGATGAGAGTTCGGGAGGCAAAGCCCCCGGCCAGGAGGCTCGAAAACTAGCTGTCGAGCAGTAAAAAGTGGTACACGACCACAAAAGTGGTCTCCCGGACGACAGTGTCCTTCTAGATAGAGGAAACAAGGTGTGGTTCAAAAACCACGCCAAACGGAGAACATTAAGCGGTCCCGAGACAAGGCGTGCATAAATCATATAATATAGGATGAATAGTGGTTGGAGATAGAAAAATGTCTCCCGACAGGAATTGTCTGGGCATGACGGGGCCCATCCCGATTTTCTACTTGGCTTGGACTGCCTTTGATTGGAGCGGGGAAAGCATCATCCACAGCTTTGATCACGATTGCGGATATTTGTTGCTTGTTCATCCCTCTGACTTTCAGAGCCTCGACTGCCCACAGCAATTGTTCAATAGGATCGGCATCTACCTTTGCCTTGTCCTTTCCTCTGGCCTCAGCCTGATCAAGGATCTGGGTCGTTGCTGGCATGTCGCGGCTATAGCTGGAAGCCACCTCTGGCTGGCTGAGCTCTATCACAATCCGCCCCAGTAGCGGGGGCTCCTGTGGTATGAAATTCCCGGCATACGGCGCCGTTGGCGGTGAAGCCGACATTCCATAGGCCAGATCGGCCACGGACCTCTGGAGGTCACCTATCATTCCCATCAATTCGAAGGTGGTGAGCTCACGAGCCTGATATAACTGGGGAGCCCAAACCGGGTGCACAACGGGCGACCTGGGCGGGTGTGACATACTGATGCTGGCCTCACTCTGTGGAGCGGTCCCCTGCTCTAATGCAGCCGTCATAACCACAACTTCTTCTGAATTTTGTGCCGCCATAAATCCTGCCTCAGCAAGGGGAGACACTGGCTATTCTGTATCAACTCTGCAACTTTCCTGAACTGAAAGGAAAAACAGACAGCATTTCAGCCCAAACTGATCAAACACGGGTGTAGCCAGACAACTGGACCCTACTGCTGATCACTGTTCCCAGAAATTACTGTTCCCGAAAACTGAACCGATACCCGCGGATAACTAATTCTCACAACTGATGCTGATACTGGTGTCCCCAGGTTTGATACTCAAACTTGCAAACTGACATGTGCGTTCCTGTAGAGCAACACTCTAAAAGCACATAGCAAGTCAAGTAAAGAGAGCTCAATCACCCCTATGTTGGGGTAGGGTTTCCCTGTCCTATTTTGTCAGGAGCTAGGGTTTCACTACGCACACAACGATTTCAAACAACTTAGCATCGGGTAAGCAACCTGTCCTAACTTGGAATGGTCACTATGGATCCGAATATGCACTAGGTCGAATGGTCAAAAAAGGGTGCCCCGGTAAACCGGGGTTTGTGATCCCATACTGTCAGAGCCCATAGCCGGTCAGCCTTATGGACATGCCTTTACAAGACAAGCCTCCGGCAAACCGTTCAGGAATGGCAGATGGCAAACACTGTGTTCCTAGGCGCACCAATGCACATGCAATGCAAAGAAACACATAAATGAGATCAAAACAGGATATCATGAGTTCGAGTCAAGCTCTCTAAAAATCCCCAGCAGAGTCGCCAGAAACTGTAGACGCGTCCCGCGGAGGGGGGACTTTGCTGCTACAGTTCGGACTCGATTTGTGTCACGGTTCTTAATCTGAACCAAAGAGTCCAAATCTGGCAAATCGTTTTGAGAAACAGATTTTTGAAAAAGTAGTGCCAAACATGGACTGCTTTGCCAGATACAGAGTCGCCACCTAAATATTTTAAAATGGGGAAATTTAGGAAACCCTGACTCGGTGCCAAAGGCCACATGTCCGTCATCACCGAAGATGTCTCGGCTCGGGAGCTTGGGTACGATCGGGGAAGGTCAGCTATGAGCACCCCCTTTCGCCCGGTCATGTCTATCATAGAGGATAACCATGATATCCGATTTTGAAAACGCTATGTGTTCTTAAACCAATTATTAGCCTAATAAGGTCATCTACCTTTACTCATCGAAATACCGGTCCTCTGGGGCCTTTCACGGGCTATGCAACTATACTTAAGGGTTCAAGATTTTTGAAGCCTGCCCAGAAGCTGTTGGATGAAATTTGTATTGGGAGTGACCGAGAGAAACCCATCAAAAAAAGTGAGGTGTCTGATAAGGTTTCTGCAGATGCTGGTAATGCTGCTAAGTCTATGGTTGGACTTGGCGATAAGGGCGGTGATCACTCAGGTGTTTTGTCATCCACAATTTATAGTTCAAACGAAATTAGGGGGGAAGGTGGTGTTGGCAGCAGCTCAAGTGAATCTTATGGGCCTGAATTTCAGCAAAAGAAGGCAAAGCTGTTATTTATGCAGGAGGAGGTTAGTCATCTCTGATATTTGTTTATATTTGAATGCTACAACCAACAAATTTCATGGCCGATCAAAAAAAATCAAGAAATTTGATGTACAAGGGTTTATAGTTTTGTCTTTGCTTTTTTTCTTAAAAATGAAAATAAAAAATTTGGCTGGGAAGTGGAAAGTGGAAGGCTGTTTAATATCTTAGTGTAAAAAACTCTTGTAAGAACTATAAAAATATTGAGAAATTTAGGAAATATTAGTATCACTATAAAATATTGAGAATAAACAAAAATTATGGTGTCGAATATTGGAGTCTGGAAGTTTGTTCCTAGAAGGGGGTAAAATAGGCCAAACATTGAAAATTATCACTTTTTAAAATTTATCAGCTAATTAACAATTCCAATACAATTTTGGATCAACAGTGATGAGGCAAGTCATAGAATTATAAAATAATAAAGTGAACACGATGTTTACCGTGAAAACCTTTTGAGAAAATTCTCCCAAGGGATGACGTTATGATCCCAACCCTAACAATTCACTAAGCATATTAAAGTTTATAGGACTCAAATGAAGGGAACTACCATTTGAACCCAGTTTACCTAACTTCAAAATCTTATCCATGCTCCATGAGCTCAACCTGACCCTGTCAGTCTTTTTTTCTCTTTTCTCAATCTCGGTACTCTAATGGTTCCCTTTACCTTATTGGCCAAGGGGACGTCAAGATAATGCTGTGGTGGTAGTTTTGATTAAAAGCTCAAGAGAATTTTACTAAAAATGTAAATGTTGAGGAGCACTCAAAACTCTATTAAAGACTCTTAGGGCAGCTCAAAAATGAAAAAAAGAAAAGGCATAGACACAAAAAATGTATTAGGGTCCTTTATATATGAGATGGGAGATTAAAAACCTAAAACAACTCAAATTAGGCTTTTGTCTATACGGGTGATCGAAGTGAGTGCTACAGTATGGAATGTTTTAAGGAAAAACTAATGTTTTGGTTCAATGTAAATGTGCTCAATCACTTCAACGCATAAGAGTAATCAATCGCTATTAGTGGTGCTCGATCATTATTCCACTAGTTGCTTAAAGCACATATGAGGGTTCGATCTATTCTCAAACCTTCATCTCGGAAAATGTGCAAACTCACCAAGTTTGCAAAAACTCATCCTATGGACAATGACATACTCATCTAATGCAAAAAAGATCAAAATTGGTGTATTTTGAAAACACAGATGTCCTTAAAATACATTCTACATGAAGTGCAAAATATACCCATGAGGTAACGGATTGATGTCTGCAACTGTTGATCTAAGTTTTCAAATTGAAAACTCTCAGCACTATCTAACCTATCAAGTCCCGTTACAACACTATCTATCCTAGGCACTGGCTGGGAGTGCAATGGGAAATAGTAGCTTTTCTATCACATTACATATCAATAGCAAACTGAAATTGTAAGCAGGATGCCAATTTTTTCCCTCAAAATTTGAGTGTTTTCTATCGTATTAAACGTATTTGTGGAATAGGATAAATATTTGATGATAGTTATCCTTTACAGTGGATTAGAACAATATACCCAAGTTTGACCATAATTTTGGGCCACATGGGGACGACCCTACTTGAGCTACCGCCATCTATGAAGCATGGACACTCCAAAATTGGTGTCGTGGCGGTGTCCGACATGAGGACACGCCGGGGACACGTACGGGACACGCCAGATGGCGTGTCCCTTTAATTTAATGTTTTTTTTGGAAGGGGACACGGCTGGGACATGGCGGGGACACGCGTGTCCACAT